TTGTGTAAACTTTCACCCCAACAATTTACTGATCACACCTTGATCTTTTAAAAGATAAGTGTGTTGCAGAAAACATCATGAAAAGTAAACTTGATGTTTATTTTGGTGCTTACCAACATAAATAATGCTATTTCAGCGATATAAATACCTGTGAACACTGACATGATAAAATCTAAAGAGGCACACAGTTCATACAAGGGGAGATACATGTGTGCCCACAAGTTTCCACACACAGAAAACATGTTTTTCTGACGGTTGGGGGATAACTGGCTCTTTCTGCAAGACTGCCTGAGCTACTTTTTGGGGTGGAAACTTAATCATTTTCATGTTTGGAGAGGTGAAGAAAAATCACCTCATCGTTAATAAAGAGGTATTGGACAACTGTAGAAAATGTAGAATTAAAATTGACTTAGTCTATGCTAAAATGCTTTTTAGGAATCATATGTTTATTATTGTGTTACAGAGATAGAAACTCCATATAAGCATTAACATCCAAACGATTTAATACTTTGTCTCAAATCCAGCTAATTGGGATTTGCATGAATGGTTTTGGCCTGCCAGACATTTTGTAATTACTTTGTTAGATTGCAAAGCTGTAAAGAACTTAAAATCACATGCTTGTTTTATGATGGTAATACTTCCTTTTCTATCTGGTAAGTGACAGTTAAAAGGACTTATGCAGGAGTGTGCGATCTGAAAACATTAGATTGTGATGGATTAGAATGTGTCCCCTGATCAGAGACTTGTAAGGAAAGGGTTTTTTTTAACAATATCACTGCGATAAACTATTGAGTAATTTACAGATAACACTTTATTTCTCAAAATTAGTTTCAAACCGTTTCAAGAGAGGCTTGAGCAGGAGACTATGATTTGTTTTGCTAGCATTTGTTAAAAGCCGAGAAGCTGCCTGTTAAAAGCCAAATGCATAATGTAGGAGAGGCAACGCAGCTTTATTAGTATGACACATTTCATGACACTGAAGCAACTCAAAGTGAATGGAAAGTCATGCAATAAAGCTTTTTAAAGGCTCCACAGGTGACTAAAAACATGTGTAAAGAACTTTTGTGACTTATTTTCAATCAAAAGGTCAAATATGAGAAAATCTGGTAGAATGTGAAAAATAATATGAAACACAAACACTAAACCACGAACTGAATATAATAAAGAAAGGCTTTGTTTTTAAATGTAAAAGCCATCTTCAGACCGTGTTAATATTTCCTCTTCTGGAAAGCTCCACTCTGAGAGCTCCACCTGAGCTGACTGTGCAAACCAGAGTGACAAATTACAAGCGACCTCTGGCCAAATGCTTGTAAATTGCGACAGTGGCTTGTGTATCTGTCAAACTTATTGGTTTGAGTGGCTGATGGATTTTATGTCCACACCAGCCACTTTGGATAACTGGCAAATAAATAAGCTGCATGCTGGGCACTTCAAAAATTACATACAAACACAACTTGACTTGAAAACAAAAATAGCTGACGTTAGAGCTGGTTGACCTTGAACAAGTAAGTGAGAGCTCTCTAGTATTTCAAGCTGTCCGTCTTTCATTCTGGCTGCATATGTGCTTCACCATCTATAGAAGTCAAAGCCCACTGGCCAGTGTCCCACGAGCTATTTTGAGCAGCCCTTCACTCCTAGCCTCAGCAACGCTGTCCCCTTGCAGTATGCCTCGCATACTCCTGACCAACAGGGTGCACAAGCTTAAGATGTTAGCAACATTTTTACAAAGAAATATAATGCTTAGAAGAGATATGTAACGAAAGCAACCAGACAGTAGAATTAAATCAAAAACAAATCCAAACATGCGGTTCTAAAAAAGAAGAAATCACATACAGGTACTGGAGAATCCTGGGGTTCAAAATCAGTTCTTAACACGTTTCCATGCAGGTGCATTATAACTTCACATATCTCTATAAAACTATTAAACTATTAATTATTATGTCACACAGTAAGTATAATCTTTTTTCCTACAGAATGAAGTCAAAACTTTACTGAACTCTCTTCCATCTATGAGCAGTTAAATATGCAGGGAAAGTTTTTTTCACTGAGCTTTCCCTCCATATTTCCATTTCATTTTTATTCTTTAATAATTTTGCTCTTTCAAATCAACAGTGTGTGATATGTGTGGTATCAAAATATAACACATTTAAAACCTGTAAGAAACTGTTAGCTGGTCACAAAAGCTTGAGGCTGACAGAACTGACAAACAGTTGAAGCAGCTGCACTCTTTCACTTCCCCCCTCATACGACAGTTCTATTTTGAGTAGCTTCCTGAAACAAAGTGCGTTTACAACACGACAATTTTCACAAAATGACGGATCCATTCATGTGTGGGATGAAAAGAAAGTTTACTTATTATGTCACTGACAAGTATTTTTAAACTGCTTCTAAAAAAATATGGGCAAGGGCAGAAAGTAGAAGAACTTATTATCTTCTCACTTTAGTCGGTAATGCAAATATAGACAGATATCAAATCGTCTATTTTCATCAGCAGTATTTTAATTCCTGTCAGAGCACACTGTTTCTCTGGCTCAGTGTGCAGGCAGTGAGAATTATTCAAATGCCATGTAAATGCCTTTCACTAAAACAGCTCACGCTGCCCTGAATGTGGCTCATAAATCCTGCTCGCTTCTTCCCAACCCCAGAACCCAACGTTCAAGACAAATCTGCTAAAGTTTGAATTAGTCTGTCAGAGCATTCGCTGCATGTCTTCATTACATTATTATTAAATTTGTTGAATGTCCAAGTTTGGATTTAAATTTACTTTTTTTTTTCTTCTTTACTTTGATGATGGTGATTAAATGGGAAACCAGAACTGCTTCATTTGTTTTTGTTTTAATAGCTGTGTTTTGCAACAAATTCAAACAGTTAGTGACAATAAAGGAGGGTCAAAGAGGGATAAAATGTCTCCTAATCATCAGAAGGTCAACTAACTAAAAGCAAAAACAAAACATTGAATCTTCTGACAGAGTAAAACCACAAACCGTCCCAAACATTCCCAAGCATCAAGCTGATGCAGAGATTTCATCATACTTTTTGTAGTATGTCATCATAGAGGAAGAAAACAAGTGCAACTTTCCTCTTATGTCAAATATTGCCTAATAAAGGAGGGGTTTGTGCAGTCAAGTGAAACAGGTCATAAATGTAGTGTAGCCAGTAGTGCTTTTCCTCCAAGCCACAATGCTAAAAACTAAATAAATTAACTAGCATGTCTTACTTACCAATATTGATCTGACAGAGGTTCTAGTGCACTGTATTACTTTCGCTTATTTAGCTCTTAACATCTCTTACAGCAACATTTCATAAGAAGGAATTCAGAAAATATTCATTTCATCAGGGGTTTTCTGGGATATTATCTCAGCATGGTTTACAGTAATTTGTTCTATAATGCATGTTTTAATTTGTATACATTGGCAGGCACACATATTTTGTAGTTAGTATGCCCACATGCAAGTGCAAAAAGAACTTTGAGTTGAAGCTATAAACATTGAGCTTGATCAAAGTGCAAGTGATGCATGCCACATAACATGGCAAGCCTAAACAGGTGCTGTGGTTAACTAGAAACAGTTGCGTCAGATGGAAGACTAACAGCAGCTGGCATAGACATGTTGCTATTATAAGTGTGGCAAGATTTAGTTGAATATGCCCTTTTGCCATTAGCTCAGTATAGCACATGCACTTTTACATCAGAGGGGTGGCAAACAAGCAGGTATCCTGCAAAAACTAAACAATATGTAAGCTGATAATATATATTTCCTGTCATGATCCATTCCATGTGTCCTGGTATTGGTTCAGAGAAAGTATATCCCTGTTAATGAGTCATTTAAGACATGAATTGCCTGAATGACTCAGCTGAATGAACCAGTTGCCGAGGTTCGAATTCAAATCATTTTGCCACCATTAGTCACACTATTTGTGCACCAAGCAAGTATTGGCATGATGAGATCAAAATCTTCAGTTGATCGGATTAACTATGTTAAGCTCTGGGTGGAAATAAGCATCTCATCTCACAAAAGGTTGACTAGTTTAACTGTGGGGGATCATGGAAATTATATGTCATGGTTTTATTTGTTTAACTAGAAAGACATGTCAATATTACTTATTCATGTCCGCCTGTTACAAAATACAGAAGGCCTAAACTTCCTAAATTTTGAAACAAGTGTGAGCATTTCCACACTTACTAACAGTGACAAAACTCTATTAAAAACATTCAAACGTATGCATATATAACGAACTATGCATAACTTGCTGTCATGAAAAATGGCTTACTTTTCTTTTTCTATCAACCCAGAGTCTATGTAATCCAGGGTAAGGTACAAACACAGTGAACTGGGTCACTCCCATCTCTTATGCAACAGTTGATACCATTTCAGGCCTGTTTTTTTAATCAAACCAAAGCACTCGTAACAAAATTGATCTTGCCAGATTTGCTAGTTCATGATATCTAAGACAATAAGGAAACACAGGTATCCTACTATACTATACACATACCATGATACCCTCGAGCCCCTAACAGTATACTCATGGCGTTCCGTAATTTCTCACTGAACATTTCTTGACTTGCTGTAACACCCACACTTCTCGGAGTCAGTTCTCAAATATTTTACTTTTTTTTTCTTATGTCTATAAACCCTATAATTCCAAAAGCCATCGCCCCAAATGCATATCAGTTTTTTAATGAAGTTTTTTTCTCTACTATTGTTTTTTAAATCTTGGGAGAATTTTCTTTCCCAGGCAGTGGAGAAATGGACAGTAAGCCCGTAGTCTGCTAGCAAACACTGCAGGGTCACATTTTTTCAGAAGCTGTGGTATGTGGCTCCTAAATAGGCAGGATGTTGTGCAGTATGGGAGATATTTCCTTGTGTTTCTAGAGGAAGGAGAGTTTCTAAACCAGACCATGCCAGTCTGGAAACAAACAGACTGAAGTTGTTTTGAAATCCACATTAGTCAAACCTTCTTTGTTAAAATTGAGAAACATTTCTTCTCCTTTTTGTACTTACCTATAGTACCGAGACTGGAGGTACGTGGAGCACACTGCTTTGGACACATGACTGGCTGAGCCAAAGTCAATCACCTTAACCCTGTAGGGCTGCCTCACTGGGTCCACCAGCATTATGTTCTCAGGCTTGAGGTCTGCATGAATCAGACCCATACTCTTCAGCTTTTTTAGAGCTGTGGCTACTTGCTGTAGCACTGGTCTGATCACTTTCAGGGGCAGCGGGCTGAACTTATTCTGCTTCAGGAAATCATACAGGTTCTGCTCCAGCATCTCAAACACCAGACAAGTGTGGCTTCGGTGCTGGAAGCATTCAAAGGCCCGCACAAGGTTGTGCTCATCTGCATTCTCCCCACTCAGACGAGCTAGGATGCCCACTTCTATTTGACCCTGCCTTGCATATGAGGGGTGGTTCTTCAGGATCTTCACAGCCACTACCTCTCCCGTGCCCCTCTTCCAGCACTTTACAACCTGACCAAATGTGCCGCGTCCCAAGAAATCCAGCACTTCATAAGTATTCTTCATGGAACACAGAACTTCATGCTGTACTACCTGATAGTCCCCATCCCCTGCTCCCGCCCCTCCTGCTGCACCTACACCCTGTTTGGAAGGACCCCCTCCAGCCCCCACCGCCGCAGGTGCGGTCATGGCTGCATTCCCCACATTCGTAGTTTGCAACATGGCAGGCAACATTGACAGTTCCTCGACAATCTGCATGGTGCTCCCTCGGTTATCCAGCTCTTCACTTTTACGTTTCAGCCCACATCGCTGAGAGCTGTCAGCTGAGTTAAAACCTCCACAGTTCTCTTCGCTGTTCCCCTCCTCCTCAACTCCTTCCCCTCCTCCACAGCAGCCCTCTCCCCTTCCCCCTCCTCCTGCTCTTGTTGCTCCACTGCTGCCCCCACTTGCTGTGTCTGTCTGCTGCTGCTCCTTGCCCTGCAAGTGGACAAACCCTGCGTCCTGTCCCTGCTGGGCCGCAGCTGGGCCTGCTGATACTCCTCCTCTTTTACCGGGCTGATGTCTCTGTACGCCACGCACAACCACCGTCTGCACTGGGTACTCTTGTCCTCCACGCACTTTCACGCCCACGGCCACGTCTCGGCTCACAAATGAGTGGGCTTGTTTTGTTGGGTGCACAATTCCAAGGGTTCTGCTGTTCAGATAAGTCCGCGGGTGTGCCCTCTCATGGTACAAACAGCTGCTGGGCTCGACTTTGAGTTTCTTCACACTGCTAAAGGCACTTGTCTGGGTTTGATAAATGTGTGGTGGGTAGACCAAGACTTGTGAGGCCATACCTTCAAAAAAGGAGAGAAGAAAATGTGGTTAGTTTGCATCCTCAACAAATAACCAATTTTCAAATTTCATAAAATGTGGGAATTTTTTGAGAAACAATGATAAAAACATTGAAAGTTAAGCATGTTCATACTACAAAAATGATCAGCATCAGTTGAAAAACCAAACCACTGTCCAGATCTCTGGTGTTTTATGTCTCCATTTTCAAAAGGCCCTAGGTGAGTTTATGTTACTACGAGTCTTAAACAACAGACCAAAATTATTTTACTTTAATTACACCTACTAGATGACATAAAAAAAAAAACAGGTCCCATTTCCATCCATACCCCGGCACCCCAATTACAATCGACAAATGGTTCAGAGTGCTTGAAAACACCTTTGCCATTCAGTCCTATCCACTGCAATCCCACCAACACCTCCACACAGTGGATGACTAACTTCTCAAAGGTTTGCCTGACCTTTTCCTGCCATTTCACTGCATCCTACTGCGGGTCTCTAGGCAACCAATAGAGCGGGAGAGAGGATGAGAAACACACAAAGAGAAAAATAAAGTCACATCATCAGGCCCACATGTCCATTTACCTAAGACATGGCTACATTTTCCTCTTCCCCATCATACATTTGTTTTTAAATGTCACATTCAAACTGGCATTGTGACCTTATCAAACCCTGTGTGTGCCAAAGTGTCGCCTTCGACCTACTTAATATCAGGGACATTTGTCATTTGCTTGTCTCACAAGGGTTTCCATACTTTAATCGGCAGTGCATTTACTCATCTAAGTTTCCCTACATAATGACAAAGTAAGAAAAATCAATGTTTAAAGTGTTCTATACAAAACGCTAGCCTATATTGACTCACAGTCAATTTTAAGCCTAATTTCCCCCAATTCTTTCAAAATATCTTTTTTTTTCCCAAACAGACAAGTGAGAAAGGTTTTGGGCTTAAAGTGGCCCCTGTAGAGTCTCCTAAAATAAATATCCCTGATGGAAAACACACTTGTGCTGTGATAACACTAAAACTGTGAGCCACCCCGTTGACTTATTCTGAGCAGCAAGATAAGGTCAACCAATTCCCTTGACAGCTCCGTGCACAATCATACACTGTGTTACTGTTTGGTGCCACTGTTTACCATCGTCTCTGATAGAAGCATGACTTTGAAGGGCAACCATTTTAGCAAAGAATGAAAGCACAAATTGGAAATGCTTAATAGTGACATTGAAATTGGCAACGCTTGAGTACCAACAAGTAAGTGTCCTGGCTGGACTCCACGGCACTACCAACCCTACATCACATGTTGTTTACTAGGGATGCAACAATTCTCAACATAATATTGAACGTTCGGTACAGCACCCAGTTCAATACTCGCTTGTGAATTTAGGTTTTCTATAGCACCATACATTGTATTCCTTTCCTAACTGAATCCGTTTGTGTTCCTGTGAGTCCATGCACTGGGATAAGGAAACTCCCCCGAGTTAAAATCCAATCATGATACGCTAAAGTTGGGGGAAGCTGACAACACCGGTGTCAGATTTCACACAACTTTTACAACGACGAGCGGTGAGGAGAGGCTGCAGTATGAGGAAGCACCACCATCTCTCAAATCAGTGAACCTTTTCAGCATTAAGTAATAATGACAAGGACGAGAAATGGTGAACAGTGCTTTACACGCATCGCCTACACAAAAGTTTACAGCAACAGACTGCAGCAGGCTGCAGCAGGCTGTAGCGTAACTAACATAAAGCTGCTGATTGTTTGACATAGATACACCACCTGTTCCCTGCATAATGCAGACGGGGTAAGAGTGAATGGAGTAAAGACAAAGCAGTAATTGAAACTAAGTTATAGTACACAATCAAATACAAACACTTTGTGACCTGTTCCTTTGTGGAAGTCCATTTAAAAATATATAAATACTAAATTATCTTCCTATTGTACAGCAGGACTTCATGGCACTATCTTAACGCTACCTTCTTTTCACTGACACTTAACACAATACCAGGAATGTGTATGAATAGAAAAGTTGTCTTGCTTAAAATCAAAACACAGAAATAGTTTTGGAATAAAAATAAATTGGTTTTTTTTCTTCCTTGTGGTCCCTTTAGATACTGCCTAAAAACTCCAAAGAATAAAAACCACCAAGAAAACACTCCAACAACCTGGGCCAACAGAACCAACAGAACCGAAAACAATGAGCACCCCCCCCCCCCCCCCAAAAAAGAAAAATAGGTACGTATTGAACTTTGTGCTGACTGTGTTGCTGTATCCCCAGTGTTTACTAGCCTGTAATTTAACATATTTTAACATTATTGTAATCTCAACTGTTTAGTAACTTTATGTGTGGAAAAAGTATCAGCATTGGTTTCCACAAGATTTACTAAATTGTTGCTGGGCCAGTTGCTAACTCACCTAAATTGGTGTGTATGTTGCCTGTAATTAAGGGACATGGCCTCCATCATTCAATTAAAGCCATTATGTGAATTGTAAAATGTATGACTATGGGGCTCCTAAAGGGCATTTACAAAACAAGACACAGGCAAAAAGCAAAGCACTCTGCATTACAGCATTAACACATTTTTTATCCATTTTGATAAGCAGGCTTGTATACACCAGATTTTCTCACTTTAAAAAATTGCTAAATACACTCGTTCTGTCAGAACTTCACAGATATGATGGAGCAACAGTACAACACTAGCACATGGTGAATCTGGCTAAAAAAATGACGTGTGTTTGGAATATGTTGAGCAGCAGCAGAGCTGTCATTTTCGCTTCATTAGCAGTTTAAAAAAATGTTTTAAACTTTTTGAGCTCTTTCTGTTGTTTTTGCTGTGAATCTTGGTCCCTTCCAGGATCAATTCTAGATGTTAATAAAATATTTAACACAACTCAACTGTGTGGACAATATCACATTGGGTGTGTTGTGATTCTTATAATGTAATTGAGGATCATGGATTTTCCTAATTATTCCAGTTGTTCAAAATGAACAGGGGGAAGTGACATGCTCCTCACAACAGGTTCTCCAAACATGTGTGTGCACTTTGAAGCAGGGCAATCATGTGCCTCTCTAAATCTGAAAAATATCATCCCATTGTCTGCATAATTAAAAAAAACAACACTAATGTAGTTTTAAAAACGGGGACAAAAAGAAACAACACACATACTGTTTAAAGGGCAAAGAGTAACTTGAAAAGTGTCATCACTGTTCAGTTGTATTCTACATTGGCCTTCTCATGCAATTGTGATTTTTACCACCCCAACAAAGAGTAATGGCAAGTTGAGACCACAACTCTAGTGATTTTACATTAACTAGGGGAGAATGGTAAACACTGCATTTCAGAAGACATGTTTTTCCTCAGGGAGCATGCCGAGTGCTTAAGGATGGTTCCTAGGCAAGGGCAGCGCCTGAAGGGTCATAGGTAAACAGGACACACCCAATCCAACAACAAGAAAATACAATTGCAGACTCTGCAGTGCAGACAGAGCTCAGTGTAGGGATGTATTCTGTCAATCAGCTTAGTAGCCAATTCAAACATGTATTTTCCCTGTTTCAGAGCTCTCTCTATTTTCAAACCATGCAAATAAGTAGACATTAGAATACATTACAAACTGATAAGCCCCTAAGTGCTACCCTGCTCCTTATCAAGTTCAAACAATGCATTTTAAAACTCAGCAACATAACTATACCTCAGGAAGACTGTAGCTTTACAATATGGAGGCTCTCTGTAAACAATCCTTAGCAGCAAGTATGTGCTTGCTGTGCTGCTAGGGATTGTTTACAGGGAAGAAAACATGAGCCAAGTTGAATAAATGCTCAGTAATTTTCCACATGAAATAAATACCACATTTATAAAATGAGTTTCCTGTCAGAGCCAGGGGACTGACCATGTTAATTTACAGGTCTGGAGACGGAGAGCATGCTTTATGGTTGTAGAGGCAGCCTGAAATTGGAAACTGTCACCAATTGAGCAATCAAGATGTCTAGATTGGAATATCAGCTTAGTGTTATACAACACCCAAATCCGATTTAAAACAAAACGTAACTTGGGCATCTGTTAATCCCCCCCCCCCAAATGCAATCACTAAATGGCCAAGAGAACTCTGACCCAAGGAAGTAAAGTAGACAGCCTCTGTTGTTTCAAAGGCAGAAGAATGGCAGCCACAGCTATTATTACCATCTGAAGCCATACACTCCCTCTGTTAGCCGTCAGGCTCCTCCTGCAGTTTCACATTACCTTCAAAGCTATAGAAGCTCTCCAGCAACCTTGAGCTGCTAAGTAATTGCTTGCTGTTGAACTTTTGACCCAAGCCTACCACAATTTAAATTGTCAAGAAAATAAACACCATACACCTGTCCACAATGAACAAATGGTACAGAGTGACAGATGTAATAGTAATAAATGAGAGGACGAGCAGGTGATGACAGACACACCATGATGTGGAGAACAAAATTAAACAAAAATAAAGAGCTATCTTTCCATCTTGCTCAACAGGAGCAGCTGAAACAACAATTTACATCCCTGCTTCTTGCAAAAAGTTGTTTCTTTCTTAAATATTCAAAAGATAAGAGACAATAGGTGCCTTAACCAGACCGGCGTGCTGCATGCATACACCCGTCCTCCACAGCTGTAGGACCTATTCATAGCCATGTGCTTTGACTTCAAAGCTAAATCTGAAACAGTGTTGCTGTGATCAGTGCAGCTAAGACTCTGAACATGTGATCTATTACCATCCTACAGAATATCAAAACAGATGCATTAGGCATTCACATTTTGTCACAGTCCAGATGATCATGGTACCAGCTTGGCTGATATCATCACCTTGCATCATCATCTGTTGGGTAGCTCTGCTGTCTGTACAAAAAGCAAACAGAACACACAGGATAACAAAATATATGACATAAGTATAAGTACAAGTCTTTATGAATATTATTCTTAAAAAACATGGACCTTATAGCCTTCATATGCTCATTGGAACAATAAAATATGTATTAGCCCAACATGTTTTTGAATCTTATCTAAAACAATTGGAAATTATGGGTGTTTGTCAATGCCACAATGCCTTGAAATTTGGCTAACTTCACAATACCATATTTTTATGGCTATCTGTTGATGTTTGAGCGGTCTGGGACATGGATTTTCACAGACTGCAAAGCTTCTTCTTTCTTTACAGAAAAGTTTAGTATTTCTTCTTGGTATGCAATCATTTGTTTTCTTTCCTGCTTAATAAAAAACAAACACATCAAAGTCACAAATCTAAGTGCTGTTGCTATCCTTTCAGCATGAAGCAGAAGTTATGGTCTTCATTCACAGTCCAATAACCTCCCTACACACGTGTGTCCCATGAACATGATGTTCTGTGCTCGTTAGATAAAAGGCCCTGTTTTTGAGGCATGTGACCACATGGTATTTGGACTGTGAACTTATGACTATCATTTAGAAGTATTTTTCTTGTTGGAAAAGATATACACTATGCAGTTGACTATTCTCCATATTAGCAGAAATTACTATTCCTTTAGCACAACAGTAAGAATTTTACTCCACAAAATGATAACACGAAAACAGAATATGGGCATTTATGTTTCATCAGCTATGATTTGTTTAATCTTCACTAAATAGTGGAATTGTTATGTGGATGCATCAAAAGAATGTGTACAAGGCACATATTATATTACTTCATCACTGCATGTACTCTTAACTCAATGCATTCAAAGCACAGACAAAAATATTAAGTTAATCATTATGCATTCACAGCAACTACTCTCTCACTTCTATCATGTTTTAACAGCTGTAATCTAGCAATGCACGCGGAAATACTACACGTCCCAACAAGCACTTTTATCGATCAGTAAAGCGCCAATCATAGAGCCACACAAGCTGTTACACCTTTCATTACACAATCCATGAACACAGTTGCAGAGTGGGCCGTTCTAGCTATAGGTATTTATTTTCCCCTCACCAGTTTCACAACAAAAGCATCTACCGTGTTATTAAAAATCCAGGGGCTCTGACCAGATCACTGGATGGATAAAAGTAATTACGTACTGTACTGTGTGCTGGAACAGATGTTTACTTCTTGAGAAATTGGATATTTTCCACCCCAAGTTACCCCACAACATCTTCTTGTCATGGTGTTCTCCAGGTAAACTCTGTGTCATTCTGTTTTGTTCATTACTTTGAGTCCACTTCGACAAGAAATCATTTGAAAACCAGTCTTTAAGTTGGCCACAATGTAATAGGGATAACCACCTTCCCCAAGTATAGCAGATCAGTGTGGCATTGCGTCACATAACACATGCGTAAAGAAGTCTCTTTGCCTCCACACCCCTATTAACAACCACCATTACCCACTTATTCTGTAATTCTGAAAACACTGTTTACTATATTGTTTATTTACTCGCCACAACACGCTGACTTTCTTCTGGAATTACTGGTATCACTATCCCCCACAACCTCACTTATTTGGCCTTTATACTGATAAGGCTAGGAATGTCACACACGTAAAGCAGACAGAAGAATCTAGACAAAGAGGAATTGCACAAACATAACAATGCTGCACTGTACTCAAGGTGTACTCAGACTGTAACTCTTTGATTGCCTCACTGAGGGCCTGGACCCCTGGGGGGGGGTGGCCCTGCATAGCAAACAAATACAATACAGTTTTTCACTGCACAGCAAAGCATGTCAGAATTTGTAAGGGGACTTCCCTGTAAATTTAAGGCTGAAATTGAATCTACACCTGACGTCACAGATTTGAAAGTTTCACGTTACAGTATCACTTGTAATTGCTTCTTTAAAAAAGTGGAATGTTAGGTTTTTCAATTTGTTGTCACACTGAAGTTGCAATTTTGGACTTTTTGCAGCCAACGTTTGAGATGCGTGACTGACAGTGTGATCAGTGTATGTCAATATTGATGTGTATGGTGAGGGATTGTGTGGGGCTTGAAAATATGTTCATCTCGAGGCCTGGTAGAAAAAGTTTGGGAAACACTTCTGTAACTGGTTCATGATAAAGTATTTTAGAGACAACCTGTTGTGAAAGAATAATTCCAGGTAATCGGTACTTAAGAGCATATTTAAATTATTAAGTAACTTGGACAGAATCTAGGTAAACCCTAGTTGATAATATCTTTAATTTGTAAGAAAGAAGTGTTGCTTAAAAAGTCATAAAATAAACTGTGACCATTGATACGAACCAAATCAGCCAAAATGTCCCTTATTTATCTGCTGTCTTGTACATTTTATTCAGCTTGTCATAAAAAAAAATCAAAAGACTATATTTTATTACTTTTTTTCTAACAAGATCAAAAATGAAGAAGTACTAAAATAATAGAAGACTGACTAAAAGGCTTGGAAAATACATGGTTCAGGTCTAAGGGCCACTGAGTTTGTTTAAAGTTTCCCTATTGTTGAGAGTTTCAGTGGGACCAGGAACACTTTGTGATGGTTCCTCTTCTACCATATAAGCAGCTAAATGTGTAAACAAACAGCAAACAATAAATAGAACCTCCACTGGATTTTTTTTCTGATGGTTTGTGGTTTATACATGAGCTTAACTATTAACCCTACACTTTATTTTTAACACATAACGGACACTTGCATTGTAGTAATAGACCAAGATGATTATTAAACTGTTGTATGATTAACTTAACATTAAGTCTAACATTGACTTCTTGTGTTTCATGGCTGTCATCTATTTCATCTGCCAAAATGGCTATGGTGACATGGCAAGCCATGTTTTTTTAAGCTGTGTTAGTCTAAAAAAAAGTTTTTGGTTTAACTCGATGCCGCAGCTTAAGTTCACGAATCGAGAAGAAAACACAGTGACGGAAAATACTTAAAACAATGGATTTGCAAAGGCTGCTTTTAGTTTTCCACCCTAAAAGAGGCCAGCTGGATATTACCGTATATTCGCGTTGGGTTTTTATTATCGGGAAAATTCCGTTCTTACTGGGAAAATCCACGCATTCAAATAGTTGTTCGCAACATATCGCACTTAAACTTTAAGGCTAATTTGTCAATTTGAAAACGGTAAGTTTTTCACTACAACAACGAAGTTATACAACTTCAAGTGGTTTCCACAACTTAAACAACTTAAAGCTCATGAACACACCGAAGTCAGGCATAAAAAAAACTTCTCATCCTGGAAAGTCCGAGTATCTAGTAGCACGTGAATGTAGCCTGAACCAGCTAGCTGTCTTTGCTAAATTCATTTCGCCCTGTTGTTGGGGCGTTAAAGTTTTACCGACGAAAAAACACATGTAACACATCCCGAGGTCACTTTAATAATGTTATAATTGTAGTAGGTGACAATAATGGACATTTTGCTTATACATTTTTAAATAGAAACGGAAGCCTATTTAATTATCTACGTCAAAAAATTGTATTTCGTTATTATTGGCAATAACTACAGTGTTGAATATAACATTATCTTTCTAATGTTTGCTTCGAAGACATGTGTTCAAAGGCCAGATAAGTTATGTCCCTCGGTCCATATTAGCTGTATAGGGTGGGTTCATGTTGCAACATGTTTAAACAACATGCAAATAGCAAAAACAATTAAAATTACGTGCACAATTATCACCGACGTCGAAGTTGTTTAGAAATATGTAAAAATATATATACTGCTAGTAATTACCAAGAAGTGCTGACAGAGCAAGCTGCGTACGAAGCAAATGTTCAAACCATATACAGCCAAAAGCTCGCTAGCTGAGTTTGCTACTAAGTTATTATGACTTTGCATTACGTCACATACAAAGTATCGTTTCAAATGCTAAACTTATAAACAGATATAACTATTGACATTTTTCTATGTATTACTCACCTTCACATAGAGTCACTATAAGTATAATCCTTCTCTGAACATGTTATGGACTTATAAATCCATACCATGTACAGTTCGCCTGCATTGCTGCCATCTTGTCCTAGACGACAGGAAGGGAGAGCTCCCTCTCGGTAACGACACCATCTCCCACATTTTAAACATTAAATAAGTCCTGCATATGAGCGTCCACAAAAACCCCACCGAGCCCAGGCTGTAGATACGCAGTTCAAAATCGTCTCCTTCCTCTTTGGGCAAAGTAGCCCATCTCCGAAAGGGTGTCTGTTACCCCGTTAGTACGTGCTGTTCCGCGGCCCTGCCAGCCTCTAACAACATGTCTCTCTTTTCTCCAGCTACTGCAAGTGAATGTTTGTGAACTGACGGCATAGACCAGACCAGAGTAACAGATCCAAGAGCTTCACAGTTACCACTGTGTCAAAGACCGAACGACCAGTGCAAAACTAATACAATACAACATAACTGTTTTTAGAAAACCCTCACAAGAAAGCCAGTGCTCTCATTTATTACAATGTACATTATATTTAAAGTACCATAGGCCTACTTACCGTGGTTATACTTAGATTCCCTCAATTCTTTTAAATCCCTTCTTAAAACGTACTTTTACAGACTTGCTTTTATGTGATGTCGTCTTCTTAATGTCTTTTCTTATTGGTTTTACTATTTTTATCTTCTTACTGTCCTTTTATTTATGCTCTTATCTTAACTCTTGTGTTTTAACTTGGTAATTTCTTATCTTACTTACTTTGTCTATTTGTGTTTTATATTTATATTTACTTTTTATTTTTATTAATATTATAGTTTTGTTTTTTTTATCCTTGAACCACTTGTTTCTATTTCTTTTCCTGCTCTTACCTTCTTATTGCTGTTCTCTTTGATTTGCTTTTATCTTCTTTAGTTTCTTACATCTTTTTAAATCTTTGGTCCTCTTGGTCTCAGCTCTTCTTGTTGGGTTCTCGTGTTGTTGGGTTCTTATAATGGTTGTTGTGATGGTTCTTGTGATGGTCGGGTTCTTCTGATGGTTCTTGTGATGGTTCTTGTGATGGTCGGGTTATATATGTCTGTTGGCATCGTGCACTTTGGGTTCTTTTTTGTTAAATTGTATTTAATTATTTTTAGTCTTTTGCATTTGTTATGTTCTTGCTGTTGTTTCTGTTCTTCTGTGTTTGGTTTAGTTTGCTTTGTTCTTGTTTTTGCTGTTTGTCAAAGCACTTTGTAAACCTGTGTTTTTAAAAGGTGCTATTTAAATAAAGTTATTATTATTTTTTATTTTTTTAAAAGGCAATTGAAATAAAGAAATCCACTTGTGTCATCGAATGTGACAGTGACTTGTGGTCTCTTTTGCTAAGATTTCCAACATTTATCACCTGGAAGTTGATAGAAAAAGAGTGAAACAATTGCCTCCTCCTGATAATATGCTTAATAAACCAAACCTGAAGTTACAGCAATAAATTAAAGTGTAGAGGACTTTATTGGTGGTGATAATGGGAGGTAAAGGAATAATGGTCCACAGTTCATGTAATATTTCATAGTTATGAATACATGATTGCAGATTTTTTGTTAAACCCTTTTGCAATATTGTTATATCAAAACTATTGGACTATTTCTTCAGTTTGCTTGTCATGATGTTAAAGATGAATTATTCCTTTTCTGTTCTTAATTGTCATCCCCCATTGCCGACAGCAGAGTGGGTTTAAGGAAATTAGTGGGGGAGCACAAGCTGACATCTACTGCCCAGACAGTCAGGAGGCCCCCAGCTGACAAAGTAAGCTGCTCATAAGCTCCCAGTGTCTGAGAAGACCAGCTGTAACCTAATCTCCCAAAAGGTATTTGTCTTTCCTCATTCCCCCAGCCGCCACCCCAATTAAAAACGACAAACAACAAGGCCTGGTCAGCTGGAAAACAGGTGTGAACACCTCTTGTCTTAGCTGATGCAGTAATAGTAAACACAGCTGTGATGGAAGTACAGGAAGCACAGGAGCCTACAGGTACAGCCCCCTATAAAGCCCCCTTTAGCCTCTCATTAAAGACACAGGAGTGCTTCCTAGAGTACTGTGATATGATGTCATTGTGAGTATGGCCCCTTGCAGGAGGGCATAGTTTACCCTGAAATGAAAAAAATATATTCTTTAATACTGACCACAATACAACATTTACACCCACAGTGTTCCACAAAAGTAGGCCTAAACTAACAATGTGGAAGCATTGAAATGACATGGCTTTCCCCAATTTAACAGACCCCTAGATGTTTCTCCTTTTTCCTCTGCACTATTGTTTGGTCCACCAAAACTCATGCAAACAACTTAGACAAGCGTAAAACATCTGCTTTGTGTTACAGCACTACAACTGATCAAGCGTTGTTATCTCCAGAAGAGGAAAATGCATTTGATGACGTAGAAGCAGGTTATTGCTCTGTGGTCCTTTGCTCTGGTCTGTTTTGCTCGTTGACCAGATACACTCTGGTTTCTGTCATTTGTCTCCCTCTACTGCAAAGCAAAGCGACCAGCATTGTGCTGCACAAAACCAGCCTTTATTGTGTTTTTTGTTCGCAGCATTTTTAGCCACCATTTCGATAAGGTGTATAGTCCTGCATATCTCGATGTTAATGAGACAACCCCTCACGGGAAGGACTTACAGCTTTGAAGAAAAAAAACGGATTCATAAAATGAATAGGCTCTTTATGAATTAAAAATATGGGAGTCAGCAGAAATGACAAAATAAATGAATTTATGTATGTCTTGCCATATAAAATAATATGACGATACATATTATGCAATTTGTTATGCGACATGGTATGAACTAAGGGGAATAGGTGTGTATAAAAAAAACAAAGGTAAGGACAAACATAAAGAACAGGTGTATTTCGGTAAAAGGGGTTAATTTGTGGAATACTTGTGCCATGGAATTAAGAATGTGTAGTTCACTTTCCAGATTTGAATTTTTGTTTTAAAAAATGGTGCTTAATATGAAAGGTCGGTTTGATTATTTTTTGTGAGTGTGACTTCTGTTTGTTTTTTTTGTTTGTTTGTTTCATTTGTTTTGTTTTGAAATAAATTATTAGAACAAATTTTGTTCAGATATGTTTTGTTTTTTGTAACCAAACTAGTAGTGTCTTAAATAATAAGATTTGTAATAAGGGTAGGTGTAATAAGCTAAAGCTTCAGCCTACACCTTTTCGATCAAAATGTTTTTGTTTTTCTTGTGACCGAAATAAATGATTACTACTACTACTACATAACAGATTAAATACGTGGTCACAAGTGGTTTTTGTTTTAGTTTTTTTTAAATACTCTTTATTGAAGATTACAATACAACACACAATACCCCACACAGTACCCCCCCCCCCCGACTAGTACATTCGACTAAACAGAAAGAATTAGAGAATACAATAGAAAACAAATGAATAATTTAAAAACAAACCTAAATATATGTAAATTTACATGCTCTTACACTCTTGCACATATACATGTTTATACATGAAAGGGGATAATAATAATAATAATAATAAAAAGAGATAGACTTAACTTAAAAAAAACTCTACAATAACATAAATGTATCATATGAATTCAAATAATAATAATAAATAATAATAACTTCCAGCCTACTGTATGTTGATAAACGTGAACAACAACAAGTGTTTAAGTTGGAGTAGTTTTAGAGATATAAATGTTTTATTTTGAAGGGTTAACGCCGGAAGTCTTATTGTTGTAGCTGTTGGTGGAGCGGAACACGGGCTTCACGCCATTTTGAGACACTGGCCAACCATCGAGCAGCTTCATGTATGAGTGCAATGTGATCGATCCATAGGAAGCTATGTTCATAACTTAGTCTATTTTCAAATCTGCCAACACGTTACCACTTGAAGGACAAACCAGCAGAAACAACAGTTGTCTGTTTATAACCTGCGTTACTCTTCAGCCATGACAACCGAGGGAGCCGCCGACCAGGTAGCTAACAAGCTAACCCTTATGTTGACGCTTTGCATTGATTAGCTTCTGTGTTAAACTTGTTCTAATGTAATCAAGCGAACTCCACGGCTGTTTCTGCATTATGCTGTTACTTTTAAACACGCTTTGAAACTAGTAAAACCCCATATCGTCGGGTTTTATCCCCAGGCTTTGTTGTATTTCGCCTGTTTATTCGCCATGTTCACTGTGGCTAATAGCGTTAGCTTCGATGCTACTTAATTTGTGCAACATTAACGTGGTTAGCTAACTTAGCATGTAGCGTGTGGTATTATGGTAAAAATGCATAATTAGCGTTTCTGTAATACTCTTCCTAACTGTAGAGTGTTTTACGATTTAGAAATGTTTTCCAGGTTTACCCAGTGTCTGATGTAGATAATATCTCTGCAAAACACTACAGGGGAATACTGTGTAAACACTATAATATAACCCAGTCCTCTATGATAAGCCCTTCCTCAACATTGTGTTTGAAATATGCTGCAATCAGCTCCATTGATTCCTCAATGTACCTGATGCATCTCAATGCACTGCAGGTAATTCTTTGGCATAACCTGTTCTGTGTCTCGTATTTGTCTTGCAGGCTGCAGCAGAGTATATTCCAGAGAAGGTGAAGAAGGCAGAGAAGAAGTTGGAAGAAAACCCATATGACCTTGACGCATGGAGCATTCTGATTCGAGAAGCACAGGTTTAGTGACACAGAGTTGCATTCTTGGGTTGAGCAAACTGGGGAACACGGGTGGGGGAGGGGGAGGAGAGGGCATAGGGGTTACAGATTGTTAAAAATATAAAGCATTTCATCTTTTCCCCTACTTGTCTGCTTCTTTGTATTTAAAATAGTATGGTTTGTAAATGAATTCTTCTTCTTTAGAATCAACCCATAGACAAAGCAAGGAAGACATATGAGCGACTTGTCACGCAGTTCCCAAGTTCTGGCAGATTCTGGAAACTGTTCATTGAAGCTGAGGTTAATACTTTTTTTTTTTTTTAAATTTTCTTCCGTGTGCATGGCTGGGAATTTTCTTAACACGATCAACATTGTGATTTTCACACAAGCAATATGTCTCTTAATTCAATGGAGTTTAAAGTCACAATTCTTGATTTGACTCAATAGGCTTGCGGCTCAGGTTCAAGGCAGTTATCAGACATTAACCTTTCTATATTACTATCAAAATGATTATCTCCAATCAAAATTTTACTGTCCAAAGCATCTCACTGCTGAGGAAAATCCCACTCAATTGAAAAGACCAAATATGATGTTGACACTTAGATATGTGAGGCTCTTGCTGGACTCATCAAGAATTGTGCATTTAAACACAAAAAGGGGATATTAGCTCTAACCATTTCCTTTTCAGAGAGTTCTTATGTTTCCAGGAT